TGCATGTGTGTGTGTGTGTGTGAATACACACACAGCAGCAGCACTAAGCTGAATGTGTGCCAGCTCCATCTCCTGTTGCACGTTGGGAACTCCGGGGGGGTGGGGGGGTGGGGGTATGATCAACTGGTGCACGCTGTCCGGTGTCGCCCGACTGGCAAAGGCGCTCACGCCAAATAATAAACACGACAATAATGAGCGCGCGCATGCATGCCCCGCGTTCCAAGTAACCCTCGAGGGCTGAGGAAGCCACTTACCAGATATGTCGGGAAATTTTCGGTCGATGATATATATGGGCATCACATCCACTGATCAAACATCCATCAAATCCTCAAAGGGAGCGCGAGATGCTGATGGTTCGGCCGCGGAGGAGTTGTGCGCTTCACCTCTCCCTCCTCCTGGTTTCAAACAAGATCTCCAAACCTGTTCCCGCCTCTCGTCCTCGTTCCCCCCCACTCACTTCTTCTTCCTCCTTTGGCTCTGCCCGTTTCAGGAGTGCTCATTCACCCAAAACACAAGCGCACCCCCCTCACGCGTGGACCCCTGTCTCCACGCACAGCTGCGCTGTAGCCACATCTATCCAGAGCGGTGCGCTGAATTTGCATGATCCATCCAGAGGCGTGCGCGGCGCAACTGCTCAAGTGTGTGAGCCACCTGATAGGTGAGTGTGTGTGTGTGTGTTTGGGGGGGGGGGGGGGGGGTCCTCCCTTAAAAAGACAAAAAGACTGTGACACTGAAGGCACTGAAGTGGCTCTTGAAGTATCCGTTGCTCCCGAACAGCTGCCTGCCTCTGTTTGAGGCTGACCCAGTCGGCGCACTTTGCAGGGAACTGCGCATGCTGAATGGTTCTGTGAGCGCAGGTTCAGGTGAGCAGTGTGAGCACCACTTTACTGCTTTCAGAGCTGCCAGGAACATCTCAACTGCAAGCCTGGTGCCAAATCGTTTCCATGTGCTCTTAATGAGTTTAGAGGAAATTAAAGCAGTCTTTTTGTTGTTTTTTTTATCTAAAGGGCATCTTACAGCTGTTCAAATAAAAAAAGGAAGCCATTTATGGTGGAACACAATTTTCTAGATCAGTGCATCCCAAATGAAGAAGGTAGTATAAAAGCCCCCATGGCTTGTTATATATCAAGTAAGGAGGCATGAGAAGACAAACTGTAAAATAAAAGATTTTCATGTAACAATTGAGTTATTATAAATATTTCTGCATTTCAACCAGTCACAGTTCAGGTTTTTGTTACTTTTGTTAGTTTTTGTTATTATTGTCTTGTGAGTCCGCTGAAAATGTTTAGAAACTGGTGAGTCAGACCAAACACACGAGCAAGTTACTGTAAACTATGAGGGGAAAATGTACGAGCAGTCGTCCTCCAACGGGAGAGTTGGGGGTTTGATTCCATCACTATCTGTTACATATTGAAGGGTCCCTGGGCAAGGCACTGAACCCCTCACTGCCTCCGATGTGTGTCCCATCAGTGTATGAATGTGATCTCAAAAGCAGTAAATATGATTTGTTCAGATTACCTTAGATGCAGTAGAGAGCACATGATGTTGTAAAGTGCTTTCAGTGCAGTATCTTGATTAAAGGTGCAATTTAAGTACACAGCCCATTTCAAATATCCTTATTTATAGGGGTGTCCCAGTATTGGTCCAATAGCCTCAAGCTCTCGTAGTTGTACCCATAAAAGCACCCCAATTTTTTAAACCGATACCACTTTTATGCTTGGTGATGTCATTTCTTCTTCCGTTTTGCAAATAACCAAAGATAAAAACAAATTAAATGATCATAGTTTAGTTTTTGTTGATGTTAAGACGGTTTGTGTGTTCTCAGGAAAAGAAACATGTTTCCAAAGTCACTGTGTAATGTCGAAGTACTAACACATAAGCTATCTGGTATCTTTGGCAAGTACTGACATTGTATACCCGGTCTGGAAAAAAAACAAACAAAAAAAAACTTGTACGCCTGATTATTTATGACAATTTTTAAAGTATTCAAGGACTGATGTCTCGGCAGATAAGGTACAAACTGATAACTTTTAAACAAGCATCATGTCCAAATTACTAGACTATCACTTTAAGATAATTGCCAACAACTTTCACAAAAGTTTCCCAAAGTCGAATAGGAGGCAGAGCTTGCAGTTATCAGGCTCCTCTTTTCTATAAACAGCTTCCAGTTTCTGTCCGTGAGGCGGACACATTGTTTGCTTTTAGGAATAGACTCAAGTCTTTCCTCTTAGATAAATCCTATAGTTAGGGTTGATGGGTTTCCAAAGCTACCCCTTAGCTTAGACTGCTGGAGGACAAATTAACCACATTTTCTCATTCTGCTGCTGTCTTTACTTGCTCTACTCTACCTGTTTGTATTTGTAATTATTTCCATCTTAATATGTGTTTTTTTGTCTTTCCTCGTATAGAAAGTACATCTGGACCTGCCATTCTGTATCTGTTTCACCTTCCTGTCCTCTCAAACCCCCAGTCGGTTGAAGCAGATGGCCGCTCTTCCTGAACCTGGTTCTGCTGGTTTCTTCCTGTTAAAAGTGAGCTTTTCCTTTCCACTGTTGCCTTTGTGCTTGCTCAGGGTGGGAGACTGTGACGAAGTGAAGATTCATCTGCTAGCTTCCTTAGATAGATAACGACTAATTGGCTTTTTTTTTAATAATCTACTGTATATGACTGTTACTGAGCAGTGCCCTGAAACAACTTCTGTTGTGATTTGGCAGCCAAAATATAAGTAAACAGGATTGAAATGAACTTGGGAATGTCACACTCATCTCTTCTAAAGATTACCTCTGCCTGAACATCATGATTTCTACTCAAGTCAAAATACTGAAATACTTGTAACTCCACAGAATACAACTCTAAAACATCCAAACTACCCCTTTATACTCATAAAATGATATCAAGCTGAGCACTGCTTTGTATTTTTCTCAGGTGTCTTTCACTATGAAATAGTCTTGGAAGGTCACATACTGGACTGCATCTCAAGTCATTTAACACTAAAATGATATTTGGCATTCAGGCAATAAATTCCCTACATTATTGCTGTTTTAGACAGTTCAACAAAACATTATTTTTTCATCTTAAAAAATTGTTTTAAAAAGTTTTCCAATTCATGCCATATGCAAATATTTGATTCCATTCAAACACTGCAGCTTTGAAAATGATAAAAAACCTCTTGCTCTATGATTATTGGCATTTCAAACCCTCATTTGTCTGTCATCCTGTAAAGTATACCTTCATAAAGTAGAGTCAAAAGCTCAAAAAATATATTTTTCTTTTCCCTTTGTCTTCTTTTGTTCTGCTGTGCAACCTTTTGCTCCAGGTCTTCTCAAGTTCACCACAGAGTCACGTTTCTGGGAACCTGCAAAGACAAGAGCAGTTTTGGTCTAGAAGTGAATGTGAGCATCAAAGTGAGAAGAAAAGAGGGTATACCACTGCAGACATTAAATGACCTGATTCCAGCAGGAGAGTGTTTACTGGATGAGACTGCAGCCAGACTGACTGTATGTGCATGTTAAACTGGGGGTGATGATGGGGGGCTGCTTGTTTAATTAAGAGAGAACATGAGATGGGCTCATTGAGAAAAAAAGAGGAAAACATTTCTTATACAGTACATGAGAATATCAGGTGCAAGAAGAGTGTACCAGTGGTGGGAGATAAATTATTAACCATTTCATTAAAGCAATAAATCAACCAAATCTATGTTTAAATTGTTAAATAAGCACAAAACAGAAGCCCAAATATTTATAGATTTCGTTTGAATCTGTATTTTTATTAATGCATTCTCTGGTATATAGTTGTAATAGCTCAAACTATGGCTCAGCTTTCAAAACGTTCTGTCATTTTTGTCTCCCTTAGATCCAGCAATTCTCATGGAAAATTACTAAAAATTCCTAACTTTTGTGTTTTTTCATTCAACCTTTATTTAGACAGGTTAATCCTATTGAGCCTCGGGGACTCATTTACAAGAGAAAGCTGATTTTTTTTTTTTTTTTTTATGTTTTAACAAAGAGTGATGACAACAGTGGACATCAATGACAACAATAGACAATCATAAAAGAGGCATACATTTGTTTAAATTTTTTTTTTACAAGTTAAAATAAAATGGCAACCAAAAGGACAGTCAAAAGGAAAAAGCAGCAAAAAATAAAAATAAAAAACTAGATTAGATTTGAAGGATTAGTGT